AATCAAAACTGATAGATGAAATTGATTCAATTTTGAAACTGTATGATTCTAATCAATCCAAAAAGAAAATATGCACACAATTCAATCAAATTTACACACAAATTCAAACAGATTATGAAAAATCGATTCAAAATAGTAAGTATGAATGTGTCGATCAAGAAAATGTCCAATTGTCCGATTCTGGTCCAATTCAATTCAATCCAATCCTCTAAGTTGTTGTAATATGCCCTGATACCAATTGATAATCCCAGAAGATTAATCAATTCACAATTGAGATTCAAGATCACAATAAGCAATTGTAAAGTAGAGAGAGTAGAAAATTGCAGAGAGAGACTTCTTTGAAGCACCAAATGTATTCGATCTTCCAAAATTACAAAATGACTAATCTCCTTCTAAGCGTCAACTAGAAATCTAAACAAAGCACATATATATACAAGAAAAAAATACACAAGCTTAGGATACAACACATTAAGCGCAAAACTTGATCCTAACAGGTTTCTTGCCAACTACTTCCATTATAAAAATAACAGAAAATAGAGTTATTATAAGTGCTAAAATGACTTCTCATAATACCACAAATGTAAACCAAAAATTTGGGTGTTATAGAAGCCCATTTTTCCATCTCGTCATTAGATATCTCAACGGCTAGCCTCTCTAGTTCACAGACAACATAGTGCACCCGGTTTCTTTGTATTACCACCTTCATCTTTCACTGCCACTTGCCAAAATCTCTTTCCCCATTCCATATCTCAATATGAAATGTAGTTTCAGAGGTTGCATATGAAGCTTTAACATAGGTAGTAGGAGTGGTAAATGAAGAATTATCTAGTCGGGGTTGAGCTTTCCCCATAGATAACCATCTCGTTGTTTGAGTAAGGGTTTGATAGGTTCTATCGATACATTTTAAACATACGCCAAAATCATAGCCATAACTCTTATATCCTTATTGGGATTTAATATCACATGGTCCCAAATAACAAACAAAGTAATGCACTTTATTATGACACCAATGTGATATCAAACATATAGTTGATGTAATAAACGGTGTATGATCAGAAGCAAACAAAATTTACTATAAGATATTATGCAATAAAACAAATGAGAACACAAACCAAACAATGCACATTCCACAACTAGTATGGTAATGCACGTCTACAGGGAAAATGAATCTCTTACTGATGGAGAATACCAAAAACAAAAAGAGAAGTTACATACTGAAGTCACAAATTGTGATTAAACTTTCAATATGAACTCTCACAAAATTGTATACACGAGTAATTGTAGCCATGAACGAGCAAGGAACAAGGAGTAGAGCAACATTAGAGCACGAAGAGTACCGACGAAGTAGTAGTAAAGACTAACGAAGAAGGTTGACAAAAGATATAAGAAGGTAGAGGTTAAGAGATGAGGTTTAATGGAGCAACGACAAAGCAATGACATATTTGGGCCATAGTGAAGACTGGGTGTCGTAGTCAGGGGTGGACCTATTCATGCCCGAGTAGGGTCCTATATACCCGCTTAACTGAATTTCGCAAGTAAATTTTTTTGGAGTATGAAATTTGCACTGCTAAACATTGAGCGGTGCTCCGGGATATTATAAATAGAAGGAACATAAAAAAAGCTGAAAAGTCCCTCACATTAACCAAAAAAATTAAAAAAAAATCTCTCTAAATCAACCAATTTTTCTTTAAAAACATCATTCGATATGGTGGAATTCGGCTTAAAACACATTGGACGACTTTATGAATCTTTGATCCACTTTAAAAGGTGCACCTGCTTGACAAGAATCTTAGGTCCGCCATTGGCGTAGTAGTAATTACTGAAGAACATAGAAATATGTGATGCACTCCGATTTTCTTTTGTGAGCGTGTTTCTCATTTTTATTAGGATGGAGGTATCAAAAGATAGAAAATAAAACATTTTAGTTGGTTAGAGCATCTTCAACAACTGCTATTTTAGAAATTTCAGAGATTGGAAAAAGTTTACTCCAACAGCTACGCTAAACTCTCCTAAAAAATAGAGAAAAATAGAAGAGAGAATGGAGAAATGTTCAAATTTGAAAACAACATAAAGAAAATATAGCATATCTGTTGAAGATGCTCTTATCAACCATCTTTAGGGGGCTTAATCAAATGAGAACTCTGTAACTTGTGAAATCCGTGAAATCCAATATGAACGACTCATTGGAATTATTAATTTTATTTATTTAAGTAATAATAAAGGGGTAGGTTAGTAATTTATTATTTTGTATTTAAACTCATGAAATCAAAGGAATTGATTATATATCGCAATTGGTAGGGATGGCAAAAAAAACCGAAACCGACGGTGAAAACCGAAACTTTCGGGCCGGGTTCGGGGACATTTTATCGGGGACGGGACGGGGATCGGGGACAAATTCGGGGATTTATAACGGGGACGGGGACGGGGACGGGGGCGGGGACGGTGATCACCGGCCCGGCCCTGCCCGATATGTATATATATATATATTTATTTTAATTTATATACATATATATATATATATAATATCTTTAAAAAAAGTAACATTAAAATTTTAAAAAAAATTATCCACTTTACCTCAACAACCCAAATAAAGCTCACGAAAAGTCTAGTTTATTTGTCAAAAACCATGATTTTAGTTGTATGATGTTCGAATTTTTGTTTAGTTTTATATTGTAATCTAATACATTGTTTGTAATTGGTTCAATTATGTTTGAGACATTTAAACTTAGATCTTTAAAAAAAATTGTAATTTACTTTTAATTGTGAAAATTAACATATTATAATTTTTTTCATATCGGTTTCGGATTTCGGGTTCGGGTTCGGTTCTAACCAACGATGAAAAAGAGAATTTTTACCCTTAACGGGTTCCCCAACGGGGATCGGGAAAACCGCGGGGACCCGATAAGATCCCCGACGGGGATCGAGACGGTTACGGGGACAGTTTTAGCTATCGGTTTCGGGGACGGGGATACCAATACCCGGCCCGAACCCGGCCCGTTGCCATTCCTAGCAATTGGGTTAAAAAATTCCATAATTATCATTATTGAAATTCAAACCAAGTAACGTATTCCTTAATCTATTATTCCTAAAAGTAGTAATTCATTTTGTTAAAAGTAACATTAATCTTTTACTAAAAAATAACAATAAATTTTGTCGTTTTCAAAAAAAATTCATCTCTCTAAAATTGTTTTTAGATCTGAAAACGATAATACATATTCACAGTATGTTTTTAAATAAGTGTTTACAATTATCTGAAATGAGTTTTCACAATGCGTGTCATAATGGTAATATTCATAAAGTGTATTATAATAGTAATTTTCCGTGTATATATAGTGTATCATAGTGTATATAGAGTGGTAATGTATCATAGTAGAATGTTCACGTCAGAAAGGAGATCGAGAGATAGATTCTAAAATACCTAAAATATCCTTTATTTATAATTTTTAAGTGAAAATTACCAAAATTATTAATTTATTAATGAGTAAATTACAAAATTTGTCCAAGTGGTTTCATGAAAATTTGGATTGGGTCCACAAACGAAATAATTACATGTATAATCACTATGGTTTCGCTTCTGTTATGGATTGGATCCCTCGTCCTGAACGTCGTTAACCTTAACTTCGTTAATTTGAGGTTAATTTGGTCCTTTTACCTTTTTTTCTTTTAAAAAATAATTTTTTTTATATTTCTATAATAAATACCTTTTTCCACATCACCCTCTTCGACCACCACCCCTTCTTAGGTCATCTCACACAGAACACACCAGATAAGCCCATATCTCTGTACCCTAATAACAAAACTAAATCAAATCAAATAAAACCAAACCAATCAAAATCGTAATCAAACTCAAACCTAACATAAACATTATTATCAAGAATTAAGACTAAGAAGCTTTAAGAACATCAAAATTACAAAATTCATCTATATCAAAAACCTTAAATCTAAACAAATACCTAAAAAAATTGAAAAACAAATAATAAAATACATCGACAAGGATATACAGATCGACGGAGGACAATAGTTTGGTTTCAGCTTCGATCTTTGCTAGATTTATGTTTCTTTGAACAATGATGATGAAAAAATGGGGATGGGGAGAGGGAGAAAACAAAAGAGCATAAAAAAAGAACTTGAGTTTTGTCTTCACTTCGACTACCGAGGACGATGACGTATCAAGTTTACAAGTCGATCTCAAACTCTGTGCACGCTGATGAGTCCACCATAGAGATGAACGAAACAAGCTTAAATCATAAGCAAACTCTGGTATCTGAAAAATGATGTGGTGCTTTAACATCCAGAAGGGTCGGTTGGAATCTCGATTCAATCCATAGTTTTGATACTAATTTAAACTTTAGGGGCTGTTTGGCAGTTACTGAATGGTTTTATGCAGAATCATTAAGTGGTCAGAATGATTAAAATGTTTCTCATGATATAGTGCAAAATGAAATATAATTGTTTGGTAATTGTTTACGATGAAATTAGAGCTCTTACTGGTTAAATGAGACCGATGATACAAAATCATTCAGAGAGTTTTAGAACTATTAAAATACAGACTTCTTTTTTGCCAAACAAAATTCAACTCTTAATGATTCAAAAATTGACTCTTAATAAAATTATTAAAAAGTAAACAAACAACCCCTTCGTTTGTAACTGAGATTATACGTTCAAACTAAAAATGGTTACGTAAAAACCAAACACTTAATTTGAATGAAGTGTTTTGAAATAAACGAAGGTGTCAACAAAAGCGGAAAAGCGTTAACATGCCCCCCCTACATTTAATCGGTCGTAACGTACCCTCTACTCTCTCTCTCCTCCCCCGTCTTTCTCTCCCTCTTTCTCTCTCTAAAATTGGCGCCACCCCCCATGAATGCTCTTCATTCTTCACTTGTTAGATCAGCCATGCCTAAGCCCTTCATCCTTCCAACTAACACCCAATCAAAATTCAATAAGCACATCTTCATACACTGATCTATACGTATACATCAGGAGAGAAACCAGAGAAGATGTGGCGGTCGTCGTTTCCGTTGCTGAAACAGGGCGTGACGTCGACGGTTGGTAGGTGTAAGCCGACATCATTTGGATTGACAAGAACCGCTTTTGTTGAATCAAATAATGGATTATGCGGTTGTTTGTTCTCGACTTCGGGAGGCGTAGGGGTGGGGCGTAGTGGTAATGGTAATGGTGGGGGTAGTGCATCAGTTGAGGAGGTGAATAAGATGATGAGATCGGTGGATGTGGAGGCTGTAAAAGCGAAGCTAGGTACGGGTGGTAATGAGGTGGTTCGCTATTCGGAGCTTTTACAGGCGTGTGAGAGTATGGGTGTCGCCAAATCTGCTGAGGAAGCGAAGGAGATTGTGAAAGGTCTTGACGATGCTGGTGTCATTTTCATCTTCAGAGATAAAGTTTATCTTCATCCCCATAAGGTTTGCGTCTGATCATGTTATTGTATCAGTCCATGTTTATGTCTGATCGCTAGAGAATTGGTTTCTAATCGTCTGATATTCTTTTAGGGTAACATCCATTGATCTCCTTGGCTGATTTACCTTCTGATTGCCCTAGGATTCAATTTGAATTGTTCCATCCTTTTTTGTGGGTTAAGAACACATTCTGATTGTATGGAATTTGTTCCAATAAAACTTGATCAGAACACATGAATTGTTCTAACAATTGCCAATTTCTGAAGAAAGCAAAACCCCCAATTCACTTATGGTAGTAAAGTAATCATTTAATTTTGTAAATCAGGTGATGGATCTTGTTAGAAGAGCAGTTCCTCTTGCTCTGATGCCTGAAGATGATCCTGAGAAAGAAGAGCTGAAGAGGCTACAAGCAAAGCAGGAAGAGATCGACGTGCTGGCACACAAACAGGTGCGACGCATCCTCTGGGGTGGGCTCGGACTTTCAATCGCACAAGTTTCACTGTTTTTCCGGCTAACTTTCTGGGAATTCTCATGGGATGTTATGGAACCAATCACATTCTTCACTACCAGTTCTGGTTTGATATTGGGGTATGCTTACTTCCTCTTCACTTCAAGGGACCCCAGTTACCAAGACCTCATGAAACGGTTGTTTTTGTCGCGTCGAAGAAAGCTGATGAAAAAGCACAATTTCAATGTGGAAAGATTGATGGAGCTTCAGAAGAAATGCAAATCGCCATTGGAGTCAGGGATGATGCTGGAAACTGATGATCTGTTGCATAGGAATTGACATAAATGGAGTGTAAGTTTCACCAATTTCTTAGCATCAGAATTTCAACTTTCAAGTGTTTTATGGTCTTCTTCCTCCTGTGAGTGAAGTTATAGAGCTTGCATTTCCATCCAGTTTTGTACTAAAAAAAATTGTTCAGTTTTGTTCCCCACATCTATTAACACCATCTCCAATGCTTACACCAAATCTTACATCAAATTTGACACCAAATTTGATACTATCCATTTACATATATTTGAAAGTCAAAACTAATTGATTCTTAATTACTGTTAAGTATAAATGGTATGTTCAAATCTAAATTATAATCGTTGATTACAAAAGATACGGGTGCGATTGGATATTTAATTACGTATATAAAGAGCACCACCAACATAATAAAAAAAGGCATCACCATCGTGTTCATGTTCATCCAACGTTTTATTAGCCGCATAGACTCTAGCACACCGGGGTTATTTGTTTTTTTTAGTAAACTACAAATTTGGTCCCTGTGGTTTACACTAATCTCTGAAAGTGGTTCTTGGACTTCAATAACTACAATTATTATCATTATTGTTTATATTTTGGTTTGAAAATCGTCCTTCATTGCTAACTCTGTTAAAAAAACCCAGTTAAGTGAGGGGTAGTTTCGTCTTTATACACCTTTTTTGTCTTTTTCATGTTTTTGTCCTTTTGTTTTTGTCTCCTACACCTACCCGTCTTTCCCTCTCCTAACACCCCTCACCGACGTGAACACACCATGAGCATCTCCAACCTCCGGCCACCACCCTCACTTATAAACCAATCCCCAACCCACTTTCATAGTGACTGACCCTATCTTTAGCCACCACCCTCACTGTGACCGATCCCCAATGTACCTTCGTCTTTGTCTCCATCCCTCCCACGAGCACTTTGAACCATAACACTATGATCTACAAGCCAAAGCATGTGTGTGCAGTGTGCGTAATGTACTTATATACGTGTGTGTAGTGTGTATGTTTTAGGTCTAGAGAAGACCACCGGAGTGAAGGATGGTTGAAGGTGGCATATCAAGGAAAGATGTCTTTTGGAATAAGGGTGGCATATCAAGGAGAGGTGTACCTTTGGATATAAGGGTGTCAATTGTGTGTGAATATTATAGCTCTTACTATTATGTCTTTTAAGACTACAATATATTTGAGTCCTTACTTCTTTGTTATTTGAGAACTCAAATATATTGTTCTTATTAGAAATAATAGTATTGATGTTATTGAGAAGGGGAAAACTTGGTCTATGGCCATTGATATTGGTTAAAAGTGTTTTGGAACAGAATGGTCATTTTATGAGGAATTAGAGGGGCTCTGGTTGTTCCTTGTAAGGAACCAGAGGGGCTCTGCTTGGTCCTCATTATTGGACCAGAGGATTTTGGTTATTGATTTGGAGAATAAACAAGTTTTTACTAAATGTACTAATTGGATCAGAGACTCTGTATCTATTGATAAGAACTTCTATGTCAAAATCATATTTTTAGAGGTTTTAAGAAAATGATTTTATACTTAGAATCTTTTTATGAAAAACAAACCAGAGAGACTCTGGTTGGCTTACACATTGAACCAGAAGCTCTGGTTAGTACAACTAGAGGCTCTAGTCGAGGAACCAGAAGCTCTGGAATAGAGACCAGAGGGGCTCTGGTCATGATTATTGAAATATATTCCAAGTATGGTTTGGAACCAGAGGTTCGATAGATCAAAACAGAATCTGATTTTATTCCGCATATTGTGAAATGATTATTTGATAAATGTTTGGTTATCTTCACCCTGCATTACATAAAAAGGGAACCTCACTACACATTCATGTCTAACCCTCATTCCGTGTTTTCAAAAATATGTGTGCAAGTAATGATAATAAAGGAAAGAGCATTATGTGAATTACTTCTCTATGTGCTTAGCTGTATTGGAAGCATAAATGGTAGATTGCAAGAACATGTACTTTTGGAATTTTTGGGTTGTGTATTTTAGTCTCTTGTATTATGGACCTATGTGGGAGAAGACATGTATTCTATGTATAGTATATGTGTTATATGCAATGTAAGGATTGGAGGTGTTACATTATTGCAACCCTTAGGAAGGTTCACTAATTCCCATGTTTCATTCCTTAAAATAGTCTATATTTCAGTGTCCATGGCATCTCTCCATCTTTTGTCATCCCAAGCTTCTTGGAATGAAACTGGATCAACATCAGCTAAAGGAACAAGTCTATATTGTTCTCATTAAATTCAAGATTTCTAGGATCATTATAAACATCCACAAGGCTTCTATACCCTCTTCTAGGTGGACTTTCAGTAGATACTGCTTGAGAGTTTGGGCTTACAATGGTTTGAGGTGTTGTAGGAGGATCTAAATGAGGGTTAGGTTCATGGTTAATTGGGTTTTGTTGTGTAACATTCTGCCCTTCATCAACTGTTGCAAGCTGTGGATTGTAAGTCTCTTTATTCTCAATGTTTGATGAGTTGTCCCACTCCTTATCCTCCTCAAAGACAACATCTCTACTAACTATAGTTCTTTTTGTTATGCGATTGTATAACTTATAAGCTTTAGACTTATTGCTATAACCAATAAAAATGGTTTTTTCAGACTTTTCATCCAACTTACTCCTCTTTTGTTCAGGGATAAAAGAGTATGCCAATCAACCAAAGGTTCTAAGGTGGCTAATTGTAGGTTTGTATCCAGTCCAAGCCTCTTGTGGTGTCATATCAGTAAGTCCTTTTGTTGTTGTGCTATTCATCAAATAACATGCACAAGCCACAACTTCTGCCCAAAAGGAATTATCTAAATGCTTGTTTTTGAGCATGTTTCTTGCTTTCTCAATGATGGTTCTATTTAGTCTCTCAGCCACACCATGTCACCATTTTGTTGTGGTGTGTACCTAGTAGTCATTTGATGGTGGATTCTATTTTGTTTCAAAAAATCAAGAAAACGAATAGAATTGTATTCACCTCCACCATCTGTTCTAAGAGCTTTGACTACATATCCACTTTGTTTTTCAATGTAGGTCTTGAAGTTTTTGAAAGTTACAAAAACTTCTGATTTCTCCTTTAAGAAATAGACCCATAGTTTTCTACTGAAGTCATCTATAAAAGTTAGTAGTTAGTTGTTACCACCGATTGATAAGGTCCTCATTGGTCCACACATATCCGTGTGGATTAGTTCCAAGGGCTTTGATGCTCTCCATGCTCCTTGTTGTGGAAATGCATCTCTCTTCTATTTTCCCATTATGCATCCTTCACATATGTCCTTTATTTTGTTTAGGCTTGGCATTCCTTTGACTAAGTTACGCCTTTGCATGTAACTCAAATAACCAAGATTAGTATGGCCAAACCTTTGATGCCATAACATAGATTGATCCTTTGTAGATATGTTAAAAAAGAGCAGCCCTTCCTCAGTAATATTCAAAGGAAACATTCTATTTTCTGTCATTTTGATCCTTCCCATGAGTTTCCCATCTTGATCCTTCCATTCACATAGTCCATCCTTAAAATGTAAGTTAAATCCTTTATGCACAAGCTGTCCTACATGAGCAGATTATGCTGCAATCCAGGCACGTAATACACACTAGGGATCTTCCTTTGACCATTATTTGTGTCTACCAATACATCTCCTATTCCATGTACAATTAGTTTCCTGTCATCACCCGTTCTTACCTCTCTTTTCTGTCATCTATGTGAGAAAAGATGTTTATGTTTCTTGACATGTGGTTACTGCATCCATTGTCAATATACCAATTGTTGATAAATGCTTCTTGGGTTTGAGTATCATAAATATGGCTTCCTCTTCTTCTTCTATATTTGCAAAAATGTTATCCCTTTCTTCTGTTATTCTTTGCCTGCAAAATTTGGCTATATGGCCAAATTTTTGGCAGTGATAGCATTGTACAGGGTTCTCTTGTTTGTTCTTGTATTTGCCTCTAAAATCTCTTTGTTGATTTCTTCTAGAAACTCTGTTCCTGTCTTGATTTGCTGATGATTGAAGTTGAAAGGCTTGTTCATATGGAGTAGTGTCAAACTGTCTCATCCTTAATTCATGAGACTGAAGTGTTCCAATCAGACTTTCGAGTGATAGAGTTGAAAGATCATTGGAGTCTTCAATAGATACTACAACATACTCGAACTTCCTAGTTAAACTCCTAAGAATTTTCTCGATCACCCTTGTATCTTCAATGGTTTCGCCATTCAATCTTAGTTGATTCAACAGGATTATGACCCTGCTGTAGAACTCCTCTATAGTTTCTGTGTCCTTCATCTTTAGTGCATCAAATTCGCATATGAGAGTCTGCAACCTTACAACCCTACTTTGTGTTCCCCACGATAGGTTTTGTGCAGGGTGTCCCACGCATCTTTGGATGAAAAAGTGTAGAATATCCTTTCAAATATGATTTCATCTACGGCCTGGTATATAGTGTAGAGAGCCTTTTTGTCTTTTTTCCTTAATTCTCTTAAATCTTCTTCTTGTTCAAATGTAATTTCGTCTATGTCCTCTGGTTCATCGAAGCCTTGTTCAATGATATCCCATAGTTCTTGAGATTTGAATAAGACCCTCATCTGTATGCTTCAGTGATGGTAGTTTTTGCCATTTAATTTTGGGAGTTGTGGATGTAAAAGGCTGTTCGAAGACGATGCCATCATCTGGGCTCTGATACCATAATGTTAGAAATACAGTGATACCAAGCAAACCTTCTGTTTTATTATAATTTCATTAGTCACAAATACAATATAAAGTTTACAATAAATAGATATTGAAAGGGTAACACCCTCTAAGCCAATCATCGCACCCTTTCATAGGTTAGCGAAACTGCTTCCATTATTAACTACCATAACTGCCATGTAATTAACTACCTTAACTGCCATGGCTGGCTTAATTGGCATACGTTTGTAGGTTGTGGTACCTTAAACTATAAGAGAAGCTTCCGGTATTGAGTGGCTTCGTGAACCCTCTCCTCCACACTTCTATCCTTCCGCTTCTTGTCCAAGTCTAGTGTCTTCTCTGCTAACTCCTTTTCCGTCTCATCGATCTACAACATCAAAATAACGAACAATAATTCTACTTTGAACGATCTCAAGCTTTTAGTTGGTTTTGTTTTACTCACTGCTTCATAGATATCATCATTATTCTCAAAGTCTCCAACTTTCCGTGGGACAATATGGACATGAACATGTGGAACCGATTGGCCTGCTTGCGGCCCATCCTGAAATCCGAAATATACAAAACTCATTAAAGAATGGATTGGGTTCTTTCTTGAGAAAGAATATCGTAGGTAACATACTTGGATCGTAAACGTGAGAGAAGATGCATTGTGGTAGTTCTCGAGCAGATTACTGATTCTTTTAGCTGTAACCCACAAATCAATAGTCTCCTCTATCGTAAGGTCAGCAAATCGCTTTACTTCACGCTTTGGGCAAACCAGCACATGTGCTTAATTATCGTCAAGTTAACCAAAAACAAATGTTTGAATTCCAAAATATAAATGGTATGAGAAGAGCACTCCTGATGATGAATAGGAATATGAGCTAATCAAGTTTACCAAACAACTACATTTGGATGAATATCTAGGCATATAGTTAACGTCATGTGTAAACCAATCCAATCACTTGGAGAGGTGGGGTCTGAAGACGATAAGATATATACAGACCTGACTCCAAATGGTAAAGCGGATGCTTATGATGTTAACATCACACACACACACACATATATGCAGGAATCAGAATTCGAAAATACACACCAACGAAGATTGGTAATACTTGGATGCACCTGTGGGTTTTCTTGACAACAGAATAAAGAAACATAACATAGTCATCGATATAATTATGTAAATATGTGGTGTTATACTTCTTCTTTTCCCCTACTTCTTTGAGTTTATTGATAATATTTTTTTAAGTATATAATATTTATATATGACAAATAAAACAAATAAACTCACGCACTCTCATCATTTTTGGTGAGGTTTGAATCTTTGACCTGTTAGGAGGTCAAATACTCACGTACCGCATTATGATGAAAACATAAATTAGTTATTAAGTCCAAAATGCATAGTAGTTGATGGATATGACCTGTAAAAGAAGACAAGAATAATTGCATTAACTTCATATATATATATATATATATTATATATATATATA